TAAAGGCGATGCCAGCAAAGTGTCTACCTGAGCTGCAGGGACCCCTGTTTCCCTCTGTGGATCACACACCGCTTCCCGATTTGTCCCAGCCTCTGTGGGCATCTCCAATCCTCCCCGGGGAAGCCAGCGAGCTCCCCATGCACCCTGGCGAATCCCTGCAGCCGACGCCTTAAAATGCAGCAACCACATGCTGGTAGAGTCCCTGCCCGGTTACCTTTTCCAAACGGGCCTCCTTCATGCACGGACCGACCCTCCCTCCTGTTTCCCACCCTGAGGGCCCCAGGGACCTCGAGTCTGACCCAGCAACAGAAGCAGAAAAATATACAGCATATTCGAGGTCTGCAGAATAGGGGACCCGCCCACCCTAATGCCACCGGCTACCTGCCACGGACCTGCCTTGGTTCACTGTGTCTCCCGATGCGTCCACATCGGACCGTCCTCTCGAGCGGCTCCTCGGGGGCTGCTCCCCAGTGAACGCTGGCTACATTCAGGAAACGTGAACCCAAGGGTTTTGTGTCTCCCTACAAACCTCCCCTTTCCTGTCCTGCTTCCTCCTTTCGTACGTGGGACCTGTGCTCTGTGCAGAAGCAGAAAGGGCTGGGCAAGGCAAGCCCTCAGAACGTGCGCCGGGAGCCCACAGAATGGACGTGTACACACGGGGGGCAGGAGGAAAGGTGGCCGGAGGGGAAACGTGGTCTCCGTGGCTCCCTGTTCCTGAAAGAGCCGCCTGCTTTCGGGCACCGGGAGACACAGAACATTGTCTTCTCACGGTCTGCTCAAAGCGGGCACCGTGGGGGATCTTCATGTCTTCAATGGTGCAAACACCTCCCTCACCCATGACTTTCAGCATCGGCAGAGAAATGGACCTGCCCGTAGAGCTCCCAGGCTTACAAAGGATGCTCCGACCAGGCTTGGCGATGGCTCGTAGCATCTCACTGCCCACCTTCCACATCTCTATAGAGAACATTCTTTTCCTGTGAGCTCAAGTAGACAGATGGCTTATGTTATCTGCTCAGAGTGGGCACCATGGTGGGTCTTCTTTTATTTTATTTTTTAAATTTTATATAGCCCAGCCGGGTGTGGCTCAGCGGTTGAGCATTGGCCTAGGATCCAGGCGATCAAGGTTCAATTCCTGGTCTGGGTACATGCCCGGGTTGTGGGTTCAATCCCTNGCACCATGGTGGGTCTTCTTTTATTTTATTTTTTAAATTTTATATAGCCCAGCCGGGCGTGGCTCAGCGGTTGAGCATTGGCTTAGGATCCAAGCGATCAAGGTTCAATTCCCGGTCTGGGTACATGCCCGGGTTGTGGGTTCAATCCCTAGTCGGGGGCCTGCAGGAGGCAGCCGATCAAGGACTCTTATCATTGATGTTTCTATCTCTCTCCTTTCCTCTCTCTGAAATCAATAAAGATGCATTTAAAAAATAAATAAATAAATAAATAAATAAATACATAAATAAATACATAAATACATAAATAAATAAATAAATTTTTAATATATTTTTAAAATATGTCTTTATTGATTTCAGAGAGAGGAAAAGCGAGGGAGAGAGAGAGAAACATCAATGATGAGAGTCATGGATCCGTTGCCTCCTGCTCGCCCCCTGCTGGGGATCGAGGAGCCTGCAACCCGGGCATGGGCCCTGACTGGGAATCGAACCGCAATCCCCTGGTTCGTAGGTCGACGCTCAACCACTGAGCCCCCCTGGCTGGGTAGAGCCTTCTTGTCTCATTGCTCACCTTCGGCGTCTCTATAGAGAACATTATTTCCCTGTGAGCTCAAGGAGGTGGCTCGTCGCGTCTCTGGAGAGTGGGCACCCTGGTGGGTCGTCTAGTCTTGAACAGTGACAAGACGTTGCATCTTGCCTCATCGCTCGCTTTCCGCGTCAACAGAGAAATGGACCTCCCCACGGAGTTCAACAACACGGGCTCGCCGAGTCTGCTCTGAATGGGCACTGCGGTAGGTCTTCAGTAACGCACACCTGACTTTGGGAATTGGGCCCAGCTCTGTTGGATTCATCAGACCTTTCCTGAGCATCCCGGGGATTAAAACCTAGCAGAGTGGGTCTGAAGCAGGCTTGCAGCCCACAGCAGGACAAGGCTGAGTGGAAGAACCATAGGCGAAGGGGAGAGAAATACAGAACTGGATGTCCCCATAGAGCAAAGATGGGGGGGGGCATCCTTGCTTTATAGGAACATCATCATCATCAATCACTTGGTTTGGCTCTGCCAAGGCAACTGCAGGAGGGAATCGAAATCCAATACATCTAGGAGCTTTTTTTTCATAGCTATTTTTTAACTGGATCATTTTGTGTGGCCCTCGAATGCTGTTATAAATATCCAAATGGCCCCTGGCAGAAGAAAGAGGTTCCCCACCCTTGCCACAGAGGAACATGAGATAAGAATAGCTTAGGGAGGGCCAGTGTTTCATTTGGACCCTTGAGGATGTGCTAACTTCCTCTCTGACTAAGGAGAAGCTGGTGCTCATGGGCAGCCGTGGGGAGTAGTGGGCATCTTCTCAGATGATGAAGAGAGGCATGGGTGAGGGCTGGGCTCGAAGGTCACGCTGGCAGTGGGTTGAGATGAGCCAGTGACCTGAGGCATCACTCCCAGTGACAGTGTTAATGTGGCTGCTGGAGATCCCCATCATGAACATCTTGAAAAGTTGAGGAGCAGAACAGTCAGACAGGAGGAGACCCCTATGCAGCCAGGTGCAGGCAGGATGACCAGGTTGGAACTGACAGGATGCTGGGCAGGGATGGAGGTGGAGGTGCCCCACTCACCAGGGCTGTCACTGGGAGTGATGCCTCAGGTCTCTAGGGCTTCAAGGCTGAGAAAATGCAGGAACGCTGGTGTCCCATCAAGTTGGAGGAGTAGGAGGATTTTGCAAAGAGGGTGGAGAGAGAGGTGGAAATTCTGTGTTCAGCCTGCCAAGTCCAAGTGGCTTCCTGGAGCAACCAAGAAGTGGGGGCATTGGCAGTAAGCTGGATACAGGGGTTGGAATACAGAGACTTGAGCTGAGCAGTGGATGCCCCACTGCATCTCTTTCCTTGCTGGAGAGCTACTCCCAATACTTACACCAGTTGAGTCTGCAGGATGCAAAATCCCACAACACGAGGAAAGAGTTAACTCAGCGTGCCTGGGTTGTCCCCACCCAGCATATTACACACATAGGTCCTGCCCATGGCTAGCTCCTGGGAGGTCATTTCTGAGCCCTTGGGATATCCTGCCTGATAAGAATACCTTTGTTTGCCTGGGACTTTGGTTTATGTTACAATGCGATAGATGGTGGGGGGTTTCAGTCATGCCCTAGCTAGACCTCGGTAGGGGGCGGTAGCTGAATAACTCAGGTCCGCCATGTGGGTGCTCCATGCTACATGAATGGCCCCAATAAAAAGCCTGCACATCAGGGCTTGGTGAACTTCCCTGGTTGGCACGTTGTCACACACCACCGCTGGGAAAATCAAGCACTGTCCATACAACTCCACAGGGAAAGGACACCTGGAAACTAATGCCTCATCTCTCCTGGACTCTGCCGCCTGCATTTTTGCCTTTGCTGACATCAATCTGTACATTTTCACTGTATTAAACAAGAAACATGAGCATAACAGGTTTTCGAGGTTCTGCGAGTCCTTCCAGTGAACCTGTGGTCTCAGACACCCCTACAATCTATCTATCTATTTTCATGCTGATACCACCATGTCTGGCCACTCATGAAACACAAGGAAAAAGCTTAATAACTAATGATCCAAACAAATGAAAGCATGTCGTTTCTTGGGACTCCTCTATTTCCATCTTTTCTTTCCCACTTGTACTTTGACCTTTTCAGATCTGCTCAGAGTTCCGACCAGAGTGTGGGCAAGGGGAAGGAAAGTAAGGGAGACCCCACTCTCCCTCATCACCATCATCACAATCAGCAGCAGCAGCACCACCATAAACACCATCTTCACCATCATCACCACCTTCATAGTCATTAGAATCCTCAGCATCCCCATAATCACCATCTTCACCATCATAAGCATCACCATCACCATCATCATCATCATCACCATCATCATCACCATCATAAGCATCATCATCACCATCATCACCATCACCATCATCACCATCATCATCATCTCCATCATCATCATCACCATCATCATCTCCATCATCATCATCACCATCATAATCACCATCATCAGCATCACCATCACCATCATCATCATCATCACCATCATCACCATCACCATCATCACCATCATCACCATCACCATCATCACCACCACCATCATCATCATCATCACCATCATCATCACCATCATCATCACCATCATCACCACCATCATCACCATCACCATCATCACCATCATCATCACCACCATCATCATCACCATCACCATCATCACCATCATCATCACCATCACCATCATCATCACCACCATCATCATCACCATCATCATCACCATCACCATCATCATCACCACCATCATCAGCACCATCACCATCATCACCATCACCATCATCATCGCCATCATCATCATCACCATCATCACCATCATCATCATCATCATCATCACTATCACCATCATCACCATCATCATCACTATCACCATCATCATCACCATCATCATCATCACCATCACCATCATCACCATCACCATCATCATCATCATCATCATGATCACCATCATCATCATCATCATCATGATCACCATCATCATCACCATCACCATCACAATCATCACCACCAGTGCTCCTGGGTGCATGGACATTGTCTTACAGTCGGAGGGGTGTCTAGTACAAACTTCCCCAGTCCATGACCAACTCATCCTGTCACAGGAGTCTTCTAGCAGCCAGCACCCTAAGGGCTTTTAAATGTTCACCCCATGCCTCCACAGTGCAGCAATCCGCAAAGAGAAAGGGAGAAAACCCCATGGCCAGATGGGAAAAAATGCAGGGAGGAAAGAGAACACTTAGTCATGTCCTTCAAACCCAGGTGGAGAGGACGACTGGCTTACCAGTGATGAAACAATCCAAGTCACAGAACAATTCGAGTCACGGCACCAAATGTGTTCCCAACGAGATGACCATGAGACCTCGGTTCTTGTCTTCTTGATGGAAAGATTTCAATCAAGTGGCAAAGTAAGTAAGAATTTATTGGCTGCAGCAAAAATAGACTTAGGACAGTGAAACAAGGAAAGACATAGAAGGAGCAACAGGAGAGCCTAAGCTGGGCTGCTTTGGCTCACTGAGAAGTCAGCGAGAAAAAAGGGGGCCTTGGAGATAGGTTCAGGGGGTAAGCTGAGGACAAGCTGCTGCTGCCCNCGAGAAAAAAGGGGGCCTTGGAGACAGGTTCAGGGGGTAAGCTGAGGACAAGCTGCTGCTGCCCTGGTTGCAAGTCTCCTGGGGTCCCTTAGAAAGAAGAAGGCGTAAAAGGAATGGCCTGAGTATGCTCCTCTAGGGGAGAGCACACACTGGCTCCTTCGTCCTGAGCATATTTATCTCTCTCTTGCACTTGGAAGTCTTAGGGAAGTGTCTCAATAGAATATTCATCAGCTTTCCAGATGTGCTCTTTCAGGGTCATGGTCTCCCCTGATTGGTTGGTGCCAGGGCAGGGGGTCATTAGTTAATACAGCTGACAGTTCCTCTGTGTCACTTGTCTGGTTTGGCTGCTTTTCTGGGCCTGGAGCTGAAACACAACTGAGGCCTAGATGTTATCTTTTAGGAGAAAACACTAAATCTCATGACCAGTGATATGCTAGGGGAGGAAAGGTTCCCCTGGGGCCAAGGTTCTTGTTTTCCCAGTTTTGCCCCTTGCTAGGCATCTGGGGATTTCTGCCCTGGTGAGTTTCTGTACCTGGCTCATTGTCCTTGCTCTGTTCGTGTCTGTCTGTCTGCCTATAACAGAATGGAAAAAAATGATTAGAAAACTTTGATAAAGGTGAAACCAGACACAAAGTGGATCTGGGCCATCTGTCACTTCTTGAGCCAAATTAAGCAGAGACAAGGTTGAATCATATATAAGCATTCCAATAATGCCAGCAGTATGCGAGAACAGCAGATCATCCTATAAATTCTGCTCTCTCCTTCCCTTATTAGCCGGCTAATTATATATAAATAACAAAGAAAGGCTACATGCAGGGGGAAAGCGGGGCAGGATAAGAGCTGCAGGGTCCATGGTCTCCTTCCAGGATCTTGAAGCCTGATAACAAGGTAGTTAATTTTTAATGGTGTTAAAACCCAGCCCCGTCCATTCCTGGAACCGGAGAATGGACAGCATTCCTGAGACAAATTCCCAGGGGGTAGGGAGAAGGTTAGGGTCCAGGCACAGCAACCAAATCAAAGTGCATCCTGTCCTTGGTCTGTCCTCAAAATGTATTTTCTTTTCTGACTAATGGACCCACCCAGGCCCCAAAGTGTCTCACCTTTTTACAGCTCTGTTTTTCTTCTTTCAGCACATCCTCCAGTTTCCCAGGGCCTGTAAGAAAATGTCTTACCTATAATTAGTAAGGTGAATGACCATTAAATAACTGTGGCCCTATTACTATTGTGGCCTTCACCGTATAAAAGGCAGGACCGTGCATGTGTGAACAAACTCTCATTCCAAGATCAGATACACCATGGCGGGGGGGG